CCCTTTAAAAAATGTGTGTACTAGAATGTATAGACTTTTGAAGTGAATAAGAAAATGGGGTCCATGTTTTAACTTTACATTGATTTCTTTTACTCTTCCCAATGTAATGGTGGATACATTGGAAATTACTTAACTTTTAATGTTCCATACTTTCAATGCACTATGTACACCTAGAAGTTTATTAAATTGACAAAACTGTCCTTGGTCGTCCAGTGCTTCACATTTCTATATAATAGGAAAATATATATATATAATTATTAATTGATAAATACAAATTAAGTAATGTGAAATTAATTGTGGCGCTGACACATAGGCGCTATGGTGTTGATATTTTTTTTTAATTAATTATTAAAGGTCGAAATTAGTGATTAATTGAGAAGTTGAGAGACAAAATTATATAATGCAAATGTTGACACGTGTTGATATTTATTTTAATTACTAGATTCTTAAGGCCCGTGATATGGGCCCAATATAATCAATTATTAATTATTATTTGACAAATATTAAAAGGTATTTCTATAGCATTCTGATCAACATTAATTAATATTGATCCTAGTAAAAAATTTAGAATTAAAAAATATCAAAAAATAACCATCAAAGAATATAGTGCATTGAATGGTGTTTCTCCTTCCTTAATTAAATATCTTAATTTTGAGTTTTGGATATGAAAAAAATTCTTAATAGAGAGCTCTATATCCGAATGGGCAACTCCAATATAAATATCGAATACTGAATAAAAATATTAAATTAAATCAACCCAATAATATTTTAAAGTATAATTGATATAGCGATGGGTAGATTCATTTTTTAAGTTGTAAAACTCTGAAGTATAATATTCAATTTATTTATTTATATTACTATAAGACACAAATTTAGTAGGATTCAGAGTTAATTTGTCTGTTAGATTGGATTATATCTTATATAAAAATCATGAATCATTATGTATTATCATCTTGAAATCTATCCTATTCATTTCAATTAATTTGTCGAATTTTTCTTTATAATCTACTAAAAAGTAATGTCCCATTTCTTTTCTTAGTTCCAACTCCACATAACATATTTAAGATCACAAGATTAAAAGACATTTACTATATTTCACATATTTAAAATTTAAAATTACAAGATTCAAAAATCTTCCTTAATTTCTTAAACTTCATGCCAAGTCAATATAGAACAAACACATTGAAACAGAGAGATTAATATTTTTTATTTAGCACTCATGCATAAAAATTAGAACTAAGAAGCATGTTTCACTATTACATGAAGTTCTATATATGCATAATTTGTCTTAATGAACATATTTTTTTAGCATGATACAAATGTGTTTTTGGTTCTCTTTTTTCATGCACAATAACTTATAGGAACAAGTATTTTTGTTATTTTTATCAGTTTAGTGAAAAAATTTCAAACAATCTGAAAACATAAATGCATTTTCTCTGTTTTAAAAAAATCTATTTAGAATTAAATGTTAAATTAGCATGATATTTTAATACATAGATCATTACATATCGTATTGATTTCCTCATCCACATATTTTATCTTATTCCAAAATTTATTCATAATTTTTAAAATTACTATTAATCATTTGCTATTTTTGTCATCTCTTTCTAAATATTAATCTACTTAAATTTATTTTACTTCTCTAATTAATGTATTGATTTTTCATGTGTTCCGATTCTTAACTTCCTATTTCAAACAAAAGAATAACAATATTAAGTAAATAAAGTAAACAATCTGATTAATCTTAAAATTTAAAATATTCTATTATCAAAATATTCTTATCATTAATGTACGTAAATTGAACACGAAAAATACTTATTATTTCTCTTTAATATTTGATTCGCAAAATTTTAAAACTATTTATTTAAAAATTTAGTTAGTTTCTTAGTTTACTTTAATTTCATTTAATTTATCTATCCATTTTATTTATTAATTTTTATTTTTATGTAAATATTTTTATTTTTTAATACATTTTAAATCATGTTTGTTTCTTTTTATATTTATTTTAGTGCAAAAAGTAAAGGTGTTAATGAAATATAAATTGATTTAATAAACTCAAATTAATTATTATTTTAAAAAAAAATGTGTGGTCTTGAATGCATAGACTTTTGAAGTGAGTCAAAAATGGGGTTCATGTTTTAACTTTGCATTAATTTCTTTTACTCCTCCCAATGTGTTGTACACGTGTGACAATGGAAATCAACAACTTAATGGTGGATAAAGTGGGAATTACATAACTTTTGGCTGATTTTTTTGGAATGTTCAATACTCTCAATGCAAAATGTACAATTAAGTTAAGCTTGAAATTTTTTTAAATTGACAAAAGTACCCTTGGTCGTCCTGGTCGTCTTCACTCTTCTATATAATAGAAATTATTTTTAAATGTTAAATTAGTGATTAATTGAGAATATGACACGTGTATATTTAAAACTTTCTTCAATAATTTTATTTCAGATTTTTGTAAATTCAGAAGTTGACACGTAAAATTACATCATGCAAATGCTGACACGTGTTAATATTTATTTAATTAATTTCTATTTTAAATGTTAAAGTAGTGATTAATTGAGAATATGACACGTGTATATTTAAAACTTCTTTCAATAACTTTATTTCAGATTTTTGTAAATTCAGAAGTTGACACGTAAAATTATATAATGCAAATGCTGACACGTGTTAATATTTGTTCTAAGTAATTATTATTTTAAATGTTAAAATTATTGAATAATTAGAAGATGACGCGTGTATGTTTAAACGTTCTTTGAAAAACTCTTACGGATTTCCTTATATATATATTCTAGATAATATGCACGGGCACCGGGCCCAATAATATAAATGGTATGTTTTGGGGCTAATAACGGATTTTTTGAAGCAATTATTTGCGTGGATAAAGGAATAATTTTTTTTATCACAAACCTGTACTTTCTTTGACACTATTTAAGACATAATAAGACTACCCACTTACAACATTTTTGAAATATTTTATGCTGTAAATTATCATGATTTATAGTATTTTTATGATAGATTCATTTCAAGAATCAGTGGAATTTTTTGTATTTTTTTGAAAACATATTTTATGTTGTCAATTATCATGATTTATAGTATTTTTACGCAATTTTTAAAAATAAAAAACACAAAAAAAAAAGACAAATAAATTAAAATGGACCCAATATATGTTATTTTTGTTATCTCAATTTATGTGACACAAATAAAATTTGGAGAGTCATCCAAATTTTCATATTTTTTTTAAAAATGTTTTAAGTTATTAATTATTGTGATTTATAATATTTTTATGTAACTTTCAAATAACCTACATTGCTGGTCACTTTGTCCTAATTTATGTGATATGGATAAAATTACAAAATTAACCCTTTTAAAATGTCTTTTAGATATTTTAAGTTGTTAATTATTATTATTTATAATACTTTTTTGATTATTTTAAAATGATATGTGTTATTTTTTCTGTCCCAATATATGTGAGCCTGATAGAGTTCTGAGAGTGAACCTATTTTATTATATAGCTTTTAAATATTTTAATTTGGTAATTATTGTAATTTTTAATGCGTTTTAAGTCATTTGTAAATGATATATGTTGCTTCCTTTGTCCCATTTTATATAGTATAAATAAAATTCCCAAAACCAACTCAATTTTTAATATATTTTTTAAAATATTTTAAATTATTAATTATTGCGATTTATAATATTAAAAAAATATTAAATAGAAAATGTACAAAACTTGTATCAGCCTAAAAAATGACCACGATAATTCGAAGCCTACAGAAAGCAATAAGGTTGTACGTAATTTTAAATACTTTATATATATTACTCCGTTTATCTCAATGTATGTAGCATAGATAAAATTTCAAGAGTCAATCAAATGTTGTTAATTGTTAAGATTTACAATACATTTTACGTTGTTTTCAATAATTTCACATTAAATAATACATATTACTACTTTTGTCTCATTTTATGTGACATTGATAGATTAATTATAAGAATCAGTCAATTTTATTTTTTTTTGTGTTTTTTTAATAAATATTTTAAGTTATCAATTATCACGATTTATTATATTTTATACATAATTTGTAACGATAGATTAATTTCAAGAATCAATAGAATTTTTTTATATGTATTTATTTTTGAAATATTTTATGTTGTCAATTATCATGATTTATAGTATTTTTACGATAGATTCACTTGAAGAATCAGTGGAATTTTTTGTATTTTTTTCAAAACATATTTTATGTTGTCAATTATCATGATTTATAGTATTTATACGCAATTTTTAAATATAAAAAAGACAAAAAAAAAGACAAATAAATTAAAATGGACCCAATATATGTTATTTTTGTTGTCTCAATTTATGTGACACAAATAAAATTTGGAGAGTCATCCAAATTTTCATATTTTTTTAAAAATGTTTTAAGTTATTAATTATTGTGATTAATGGTGTTAAATTGTCCAATAATATAAATTTAAAGGTACAACCATAAAAGAAGAATGTACAACACTATCTAAGCACATGTAACACTTGTCATGTGCTAAATAGTAGATATTCCCACTTATTATATATAGTAATAGAAAAATATATATAGAAATGACATATTTATTAATTAACTAAATAATAAATATGTAACTAAAAATCTTATTAGCTTTTGGTTGAAAGCTAACAAGATAGTTACAATGATAGTTGCATTGTGGCTTATTATATATAGAATAAATATATATATAAATTATTAATTGATAAATAAAAATTAAAAAATGTGAGATTAATTGTGGCACTGACTAGGCGCTATAGTGTTATACTTTTTTTAATTAATTGTTAAAGGTTAAAATTAGTGATTAATTGAGAAGTTGAGAGGCAAAATTATATAATGCAAATGTTGATATTTATTTTAATTAATTTTTTAAAAAATGTTAAATTCAAAATACTTAGAATACTCAACTCTATAAATAGAGTTTCTACAATAGTCATTCATACATCTCCAAGAATTCATCAAAAAATGGCAAAAATTCTTTTAACTTTGTTTGCTCTTGCTCTAATGTTAGGCCAAACAAATGGAGTTGTTCAGTGTGAGAAAGATGTTATACCCTTGGTAAAACCTTGTTCAGGTTTTGCACTAGGTAAAGATGCAAAACCTAGTCAAAACTGTTGTGTTGGATTGCAAAGTTTGGCTAAAATAGCTGCTGCCTCAGAATCAGACCGCAAAACTCTTTGCATTTGCATCAGTCATCTAGAGAGATCTGGCTCTGTGAACATTGTGAACTATGCAAAAGCTGTAAAACTTCCTGATCTATGTCACTTCATTACCTTTATGCCAATTGAACCTAATCCTGATTGCTACAACTAGAAACAAAACCATCCAAAGGTAGAAGAGATGTTGTAACTTCTAATAAAAATAATTCACTTTTAATTAAATTTGACATCTCTCTTTTAATTAAACTAGTTTCAGTGTATACGCTTTGCGCATTATGATTTCGCATACCTCATTTGATGAAAAATATTATAGAGAGAAAATGAATTTAATTACAAATTTCATTAGCAAGATGCTTATAGATTAAAATATTTAAAAATCAAAATCTAATGGTTATGATTTCTGTACAATTAAATTCTCACATAAATTGATATAAACAATTACTCCAACATTAAAACAACTAATAGTGTTGTAAATAAAGTTCTACTCCTATTTGATAAGAAATATTGTTTTAACTAATTATATGACATTCGATAGAGTAATGTAAATACTCAATTAGTGATATTACCAATTAAACTTGTGAGCATGTGGTTGTAATATCGTTCGACCTTCTCTGTAGGGGTGGCAAAATTAAACTTAACCCGTTAAATTCGTTTAAGTTTGGACGGATTGTTGATCCGTTCATTTATTACCTCAATCCATTTCAACCTATCATAAGTTGGGTTGATATGTAATTCAAATTGGCTTGTGAGAAATCACGTCAAACTATTTTTTTAGAACTTTTTTTTTTTCAATTTGATATGTTAAATATAGTCATAATATAAAAATATAATTTTATTAGATACTAAAATAGTTTTAAAAAATAAATAAAATAATTAAGATTAGTAAAAACTGAATTGGGTTGGGCTTTACTCCTTTATCTGTTATATAACTCATTATCTAATTCATTTTGACCCAAGTAACTTTAGGTTGGATTGGATGTTGCGTCTTAACTTATTATAACACTCACAAATTTAACACAATCCGCTCAACTACCACTCGTTCAGTTCTATAGCAGCATAATTATTAATATAGCTGCCAAACTAGCTATTGATAATTATTAACAAACTAGCAAACTGCCAAACTAGCTATTGCTAATTATTAACAAACTAGCTAACTGCCAAACTAACTATTGCTAATTGCAACTGATTGGCAGATACAATAATTAAGGCTGTTCGCATGCGGGTTTCGGCCAAATTCTATAGATTTTGTTCAAATAATATATTTATCTATATTACCTTAAAAGCATGAACTTCTAATTTAAATGTTAAAATACTATAATATTTCTAACTTAGGTTGTGATTTTTTCGATGGGTTGTGACGTTTTCGATAAGTTGCGACTCTTTTCAAAGGGTTGTGATTTTTCGATGAGTTGTGACTTTTCAATAAGTTGTGACTTTTTCAAAGAATTGTGACTTTTTCAATAAGTTGCGACTTTTCCAAAGGGTTGTGACTTCTCGAAATGATCATGACTTTTCAGATAAGACACAAAAAACATTTGTTCATACTACCCTTTGTTGACTATAAATAGAGGGGTTTCCTCTCATTTTTCAACCACAATTTTTTTAATCTTCTACTCTTCTTCTTCTTGCATTTTAAAATTTTTGTGTGATTTATTATATTTGAGTGAGTTTGAAGTTTAGCGGAATATGAGGTACCACTATTCTGATGAAGTAAGTCGTTCTATCCTAAGAGGGTATATTCCATAACCTCGAGTACTTGAGGAAAATAATATTGATGATATAATAATTATTTTTTTGCTTAATATATACATTAGTATGTAATGTTCAAATATATGAAGTTAACATGATGTAGCCTAAATTCATTTGTTTGTTAATAATTTCTCTTGTGATGTAGATATATGCTTCTGAATATCTTTTCCAAAATTTAGAGAATTGTCACAATTTGTTTTTGATGCTCAAAACAAAAGAATGACTTTATTTATCAATGTACTTATGTGATCTAGGCTTTCGTGAAGTTTGCTTCAAAATAGTTATTACTATATAAACATTGCCTTTTTGTTTTACTTATTTACTATTTCTTAATATTTTAGTATTTTAGACGAAGAAAAGTTCAAATGACTACTAATAACGCCAGTTGAAGTTTATATTAGTTTACTTTTTATTATTTATTTAATAGTTAATTTTATTAGATAAATATTTTCATTAATGCAGATATATATTTATATTTGGGTAGATATTTGTATTTAAATTAAAGTATTATATGTCACAAATGTATTATCAAGTTAACAAGATCTTCTAACTTCAAAATAATTATTTTAAAATGTTTCGAGTTTTCTTATCTAAACATCTGGTTAGATGACAAGAAAAATACAAAGCAAATATTGTCTATAGGGTAATATTAGTGAGATAAGACTATGGTCTGCTCTTCTCTCCTCGTGATCGAAGCTGACCCCAGAAGTTGGGTATTCCTTCTTAAGAGGACACTAACCCTCCCGATCTTTCTAGCCGGGGGCTCATGATTGAACCTCATCAAATTGAAATAAATATATACATTATTGCATTTAACTAATAAAATTTTTCATTGACCATGTTCATATGTTTGCGTGAATAAGAGATATATATGACGATCCACATTGAATATTCACAAAAGAATCTGCAATATTATTTTTTGCTAAGCGTATTATTCAAATCTTCGCTTAAATAAGCAATACTATTTACTATAACATATATTTTTGGAATTGATAATCACGTGCAACACATGTGTCAATAAACTAGTGTTAATAAATACATCAAATATGTATAGATATTAAATTTGAAATCTTATTATTATTACTTAAAATAATTATTATAAAGTTTAAAACTCATAAAATTGAAATCCTAATAACTCCGTTTATGCTAAGCACTAACTAAGTTTTACCACAACTAACACATGGTGCTTGAAACAAATTTGAAAAACTCTTTCTAGAATATGGCCAAATCTACCCCACGTACACAGAACCACCCCCCTGACCCACCGGAACCACCAGATTCACCTAGCCCCGTGGTGGAAGACAATCAAAGATTTCAGTCCTTTAAAGAAGCACTGATTGACAAGGAAAATGACCTAAGTCAAATCTATGAAGTTCCTAGGAACATACAAACATGGAAGAAGGAAGTGAGAGTAGCAACGATACAATCACCCTAACCGAAGACGAAAAACGAAGATTGTACCAACCATGGTGCTTGTCTGTAATCATCAAAGTCTTTGGGAAACGACTAACGCACACCTACCTAAAGAGCAAATTAACAGACACCTGGAAGCTGGCTGAACCTCTCACACTAATAGATCTAGAATGAGATTACCACATTGTAAAAATAAGTCAAGTGCATAGTATGCACAAAATCCTACATGAAGGGCCATGGTTTGTTGCAGGGAATTTTTTATCAGTCAAAAGGTGGGAACCAAATTTCGTCCCCCAATAATCCATGCTAACCCACACAACCATATGGGCTAGACTACCCCAACTGCCAACATAATTCTATGATAAAAACATATTAGAAAAGGTTGGACAAATATTGGGGGCCCTACTTAAGATCGACATTTGCACATCGGCTACACTCAGGGGGCGATATGCATGTATTTGCATCTAAGTGCCAATTGAAGTACCAGTCAAAACAGAGGTAGTCATTGGGAGTCATAAACAAAAGTAATTTATGAAGGGGAGGGAATCATGTGTGTTGGTTGCAGTAGAATAGGCCACACTCTAGGGAGATTTAATGAAATAGACAAGGAGATCATAGACCCCCTTCACCCGCCAACGCCGAAGGAAGTGAAACGGACAGACATCTGGGAAATTGTCTCATTCCCAAAGAGGAAGACCCTAACTGCAAGGAAGCAAAGCACAAACACACCCAAGGAGCAAGAAAGGCAGCAACAAAGATATGTAAGGGCTGAGTTTCTTAACACCAGCGCCCCAACCCAACCACCTGGAGACAGCCGGAAAATTAATGAAAATAATAATAACAAAAGTAATGGAAAACATGTGAAAATTGGAAATGGGCCCGAAACCCCTGCTCCTAAGACCAATTCCACAGCTGTAAAAAACAACAATGTTGCTAATCAAAAGCTTTTTACAACCATTAATGAGGAAAGACATTATTACAAAAAAGAAAATCATTATTTGGCTAACAATTACACAACCTTAAATGATAAAGGAAACACAAAGACCCACGACTTAATTACCAACCACCCCCTCCCTTCCCCAAGGCTCCGACGATCCGAAACGACGCCGCAGTCCATACCCAGGGTAATCATCACCCTTCTGCCAGTGACATGACCACAGAGGTCGCGTCAAACATCTATCACATTAACGCCACTACAATGGATGTTGATATAATCCCCAACACCATAGAAGAACACCCAAATACCACTCATAGCAAAAGTGGCTCACCACCATATGCCACCACAAAATCCACAAGACCCACCGCTTATCTTCACGACATCACCAATGCCTTCGGGGCATACTCCAACCTCATGGTTGGAATTGGCGCTGCAAGAAAAATAACTCTCCTTCCAAGTAATGATAGCAGGACATCATGTGACCTTAATACTCCAAGACCCGACATACCTTGCCCAGATCCTCAAAGGGGGGTCGATTAGGGGATAACAGAACTGGGCCATCAGATATGGATGCAGATGCTGAGGCAAAACCAAATGTGGGGGAGTATGAACTCGATGACAATGGAAGAACTCAACGTGTTAATGAACAACACCTAACCAGTTTCCATAACCTCTTCTTTATACCCAGATTTCCACACGAGGTCCTGAACACATTATACTCCCAAACACTACAAAGGGAGGAGCAAAACACGAACCCAGGAAGAAAGGTATCCTCAATCCTAGAGCTGATAAGAAAAAACAACCAGGAACTGGAGGACATTTTGACAAAAAATGGAGAACAAAGTACGGAGACATGCACCTTGGAGACTATGTTCTACAATGAGTTCGAGGAACCAATCAACACGACAGTAATAGCCTACTGCCCACAAGACACAACAATGTACACTTTGAACTTGAGGAACGAGAATGACTTAGTTCCGGCAACAGTGACATTGAATTCCACTGGACTACCCAAACAATGATCTCAACTGGAGAAGGGGAAGGGCTTGTAGGAG